AACACACCTTTGTTAGTTTTGGCTGCACCCTTTCAGGTATCACCTGCCTCCCCAGGCAAACACGTTCCTATCCCGGGTGCCACAGGCCTGCTGCACTCCTCTGAGGGCTGCGTCCTCCTGCCAGGAATCTGTGGACCTACTGCATCCACACCAGCAGCCAGGGAGGGAGAGCCCCAGCACTAATGTGGCTGCAGCAAGGATGTTGCAGGGAGCAGAGGAAGGAGCTGGAAGCAGATTCATGGTCAGGCTGCTGCTTGGTTTTGTTGGAAACTGGAGTGGAAAACTGGCACCGGCATCCATCCACCCCAACAAACATTGCATTCATATGCAGAGCTACAGAGCAAATGATCTGTCAGTTGTTCATCTGGAGAACAGGTTTCACCAGCCTGGATTAAATGATTATGTTGCCACAGCATGTGCTTCTGGCTGCTCTTGGAGATAAAGGAAGTAAAGCACAAGGAGCCTTACAGGAGAGAGGCCTGACCCTGCAACCCAGCTCCCAACACTTTAATGCTTGAAGAAGGTTCAGACCAGCACAGAGCATGGGAGATGGGGAGCAAGTGTGTTTAAAAGGATGAATTTTGGTGCTGATGCGCTGAAATCACTAATGCAGGAAAACACCTCATTGAATCGAGAACAGAAGGTGCACACTTTACCTCCAATTACTGCCTCCAGATGTGCACCAGACTGGCTGTATTTCTGAGCCTGCTGCTCCTCGCTCCCACAAAGCTGAAGGCAGAGCGAATGCAGTTGGAGGTCCAACAGCACATGTGCAGCTCCACCAGAGCCTGCGTCCTGCCTCCACAAACCCCCGTTGAGTGACTCCCTCAGGATGTAATTGCAGTCGACTTCATTCCAGGCCATGAGCATATGTCTGGCTACGGACATTACCGCATGCACACAAGGAAAGAAAAAAAAAAGAAACATAAAGCAGAAAGTGCAAAAAACTACTGGCAATCCAAGCCCAGTTAGGATAATGGGTGTTTTCCTCTGTAGAAAAAGGTTACTTTGCTACCTTTGGCAGTCTGGCCAGCTTCCCTGTGTTAGTATCTTGTAAGGCACAAGAGAAAGGCTGGCATCAGCTTTGCAGACTCAAAACAAAAATACTGCACCAAACCCATGGGCCCCAGCAACAACCCCTGAATCCCTCTGGAGCCCACAAGCATAAAAAGCAGAGGCCCAAAGAGCTAAAACAGCAATTTTAGGACTCTCATAGACTTCAGAGAGCCTTGAACCCTTGTACCAGGGAGCCCAAGGCATCTTTTTCCATTCTGTGGCCTTTGATAGGTTCACTCCCACCAAAGTTCACCCCCTGTCTCATCTCTCAGGGGATGATGTGTCTGTGGTGGGTGCAGTGGGAGGTGTAGGGGTGCAATCACAGCACAGTATGGGCAGCAGGAGCTGGAGCCACCACCCTCTGCCTCCAGTGTGTTTCACAAGATGAGCAGCAGCACTGTTGCTTTCGTATTTGCCTTTTGTTACCCTCAGAGAGTGGAAACCTGTGCTCTGAGCACTGGGAGCTGTTACAAACACTGCTCTGGGGAGAAGTCCCTACAAACAGCCTGCAGCAAGCACCCAGCACCCAACACTCCCAGCTCAAGCACCTGCAGGCTGGCAAAACCCTGAGCCATCCAAAGCAAGGTCTTATCAATGGGAAGTGCCAGCCAGGCCTAAGCAACACTGAGCTGCCCTCCCCACCTCGAGTGGCCATGAAAACACATAGGATTTGTCCAGCTGGGATGGCTCCCGGTCAGGCATTTACATTTATGGCTCATGGACAGGTTTTTAAAAATACATCCCAGTGCATGCACGGATGTACTCCAAGATACACTTATATCCACAAGCACATGACCTAGGAGGTGGGTTAGAGCTGAAGTGACTCAGCCTCCCGGTTACAGGAACAAAATTAGCAACCACTCATAGACGTCTTATGTCTTAGATGGGGCTAGATGGCACTGTAAGTTAGTTAATGTCCCTTTGCCTCAGGAGATTTCACTTTGGCATTAAGATCAGTGGAAAACCAGGAAAGCTGGTGCTCCCTAGGGTATATTTTCCAGAGCTGGGCTAGTAATTCACACCAACAGCCTGATTCAACACATTTTCAAGGTACCTAGTTAGAAGATGTGTCCAATAATTTAGTCATTCTCTGGAATTTACTTATTTTTTTGAGAGAATAATTCTTGGCTTGACAGCATTTAAACATATGTTTTCTCCAAATACTTGGCCTACATTTTCCCTTCTTTAATTTATCCCATTTCTCCTCATTAACCCCTGCCCCACCACCCCCGTTGTTCCCATGCTGGATCCCTCTACCTCTCCCGGGAGAACAGTGATGAAATGACATTCGCCTCCCAGACCTCCTGGCACATCACCGTTTCTCCTCAGGATCAGCCCAGCGGGGCAAAGAGCCCTTTGGCCCGGAGCCCCTGAATCATTTAAGGATGCACAGCTGAAATGGAGCAAAGCAAAGTGGTGGAGGGAGGCGAGGACCGGCCTTGGAGGGACAGTGCCTGGCTGTATTCAGGTCAGAGCATTCCGGTCCCACGGCCTCGGGTGTCTGCCTGAGCTGGTTGGGAGATGAACGAGTAAGGATCTGCCCTAATCTCACACCCAGACCTTCCAGAGCCTCTGCACTCTGGTGAGCACGCTGTGGCTGATGGCACCGTGCCACCACAAGGGAACGGCATCCACGTGGCTGGGGAGGAAGGGGGACGTGCAGTCCTGGTGCAGCACATCTGCCCCTGGGGCTGGGAAGAGGGTGGCCACCTCTTTAACAGAGACCCTATCCATGTATCTACCACTCCGATGGGTATCTCTCCCATCAGTTAACAGAGGGAGCAACCCTCTGGGGGAAAGAGAAAAAAAAGCTCACCAAACCCCCAAAATCCCCAAAACACTCCTCCCAGCACAGGATCCCATCAGCTCCTTGACTGCCTAGGTCATTCATGCCTGTGAATTTCCTCAAGTAACAGATTAGTCACGTACATTTGCAATGGCAGCGATTCTGCCAAATAGCTGAGGAGCAGGGCAGGAGAACAGCAGCAGGACAAAAACAGGCAGAGGAGGGGAGAGGAGAAACAAAACATTTCTTCCTTTTCTCCCATGCCCCTTTGGTTTTCAACAGTGTCTGCATGCACAAGCTGCTAAACAGCTGCATCACGTGGCGGTGAAATCCGGGTGTTATCTGGCCAGAGACTTGAACAACTCTGTCTTTCCTTTTTCACCCCCGAGCTGGCAGAAGCATTGCCCAGCAGCCAGAGCACTGACAGCTTCTGTAAGGTTGGGACCAAAAGCCTCCCATAGTAGGAACAATGTTTGGCAGCTGGGAAAACCTCTCAGTTGAGCTCCCATCTTTGGAGTGACTGACAAATGCCAGACCCCGGCAGGGCTGACATAGGCTCAGGGCTGCAAAGTGTCCCACTCAGAGGCGAGTCACTCAGAGAGGAAAACAAACAGGAAAAGGTCCCCAAAAGCTCCTGATTAGTATGTGGCTTACTGCAAACAGTTACTTTCTTCTTCCAATAGCAGGCATGACAAATCACCGCTGTCACTAGAGCAGCAGCGCGTGGAGCTGCGAGCAGGTCAGACTGCTCCTCTGTGCTGTGCATGCTGTGTCAAACTGCCCCTGTCCCGAGGACCTCCCAGCCACGAATGGCCTGGTAGGTAACAAAGAGGGAGATTCAAAGCAAGAACACCTGAGTGATCCAGTAACAAGGTGGGGAAAAAATGCAGGCTGTTTTGGGTCATATGAATTGTGTATACATTCCCAGACACTCAGTCTGCCCCTAGTAGTTCAGGGAAATGCTAAACGGGCAGCATGGCCTGGAGAAACTGTAAGGAGGGGAAAAGCAGACGAGTGCCTGGGGGAAAGCTGATGAGCTGGTTTTCAAGACAAGCGTTACTGCTGCAATAAGAGATAGGGGCACATGTAGGCGTTCCCTGTCCTGGTAATAAATAACAGCTACAAAACTCTCATTAACCTCTGTAAAATATGTTGGTTCTGCCAGCCCATCCATCACTAACCTGTCTGTTACTGTGGTACTCACTTCAGCTGTCCCAGAAAAGACAGAAAACACAGCAGGACAGCCACAGCATCCCACATTCCAGACAAAGGGAGTCACAATTGCAAAGGATGCATCCTTGTTGTCATAAAAATGATGCTCCCTTCTTGTATCCTCTGGCTTAGGGGGCAGCACTGAAAAAGGAGACTAAAATACAAGCATCACTTTTGAGACAGGAACTTCACTATAACACAAAATAAAGAAACAAAAAAAAGACTACCTTGGGAATCTTCTACCTTTCCTTCCTAGGAACAAGCAGCCCTGGGGCTTGGCCTGAGCATCTGGCCCGGTGAATTCACTTGCAGCCCAAAGAAAGCCTGGCTCCATTCATCAGCATGGATAGGAAGAGTCAAGTCTCCTCCTCTCACCATCCCACTTCCTGGAGGGGAATTCAAGGAACAAGTGGCCTGATAGTGCTGAGAGGAGTTCTGTCCCACATGCTGCCAGGCTTCCCACGCTGTCCCATTTCAGAAGTAGCATGGGGAGGAGGGGGAAATGCATAAATCAGAGTCTGATACTTGGCGCTACACCAGGACATAGATTAGACTACTCAATCATTTTAATTGCTATCCAACAATAATAATCTATTTAGGTGATTTACTCTAAAACATGCATAGCACTTTGGTATGTTTATAATGCTAATTGGGAAGGTCCTGAACCAAACAGCCACCCTGGCTAGCCAAGCTGTGTATTTGGGGAGATTTATTTGGTTAGCTGTTTTCAGAACTTCACTAAAATACTGCTTTTCTTAGCTTTTTTTGCTTCAACATATATATTTTTGTCTATTTACTTGTCAATCTCATGTATTTAGCAGACATAAAAAAATGCAGAGCAGTAACCAAAATTACACACACTTCCCATGCAACACAGGGTTATTCTTCCATGTCTTGTTTCTGCCCTGCATATTTAATTTTGTACTCCTGTGAGGACTTGGGTGCTCAGGAAGAATGCCATTTTTAGAATTACCAGACATAAGTAGCTGCAGCTACATAAATAAGGAGTATGTCAAGATCTGAGGAGAGCCAATGGTTTTACTAGGTCACCAGTTAACCCCCATGGCCAGAAGTGCAGGTGTGAAGGAGATAATCCACCTCCGAGACAGATCCCAGCATGCCTCCATGGGAGTTTTGTGCTTCACAGAGGCACTTTGCTCTCCCTTAAGAAAGATGGTACGTCAGAAGAAGTTCCTCCTGCTTTACCTGCACTGTTTGTACCTGTGTTATTGCAGGTAGGCACTGGGAAGGATGTGTTGGGTATGCAGAAGCTGTTACCCACAATATACTGAGCAAAACCACAGCGAAAAAGATGGTGCAGCCTCTGCTCTGGCTGTATTTATCCCACATGTCAATGAACAATAAAAACAGGGCACTGAAAAATAAACCTCACTGCTTCAAAAAGCCCCCAGGAGAGTTTTGTCATTGGTATCATATTTTTTTGTTTATTTCTGATATTTTTTTTACTGTTGAAGTTGACATCTTTTTCCTTCTGCTGAACCAGCATTTCCTGACAGCAAACCATGGTCAGAAATTTTCCATCCAGCCCTGAAGTGTGTTTTAACATTTGGTGCTTGTGCATGCTTATGAAAAGAGGTTAATGTCAATCTCAGAAAATTATCTACATGATGTTCAAAAGGGTACCAAGAGTGAGGAGCAGCACCTGCATTTAGGGAAGTCCAGACACTCTCTTGTTTCTTTGCCTCAGAGTTGGGGTCAGCTCTTCTCTGCTCTTTTACATTTGTAATGGTGATCCTCCTTTGCATGTTTACTGCCCAACTGACCTGTCACTTGGAAAAAATCCTTCCATGGGGAACACTCTTTCGTGACACAGCACATCCCCTTCCAAACACCCTGGGGACATTCTGATTGTTTTAAAACCAAACATCTTGGAAAAGAGCAGTGTTCTCCCAACAAACAGCAGTACAGTCAGGCCTCAGAAGCAAACAAGCAAGGCAGGAGCTTGTGGGAGGAGATGGTAATAAATACAACAGTCAGCTTCTTAATCACCATCCCCAGTGCCTGATAACCATTACCTTGTTTCAGTGCATAACAGTGACAGGACAGCCCTCCACATTTGGAGGACTTTACCCAGCAAAATCTCCTCAGGGATGAACAAGCAATGAAGTGTAAACACACCCAAGAACTTTTAAAGGTTGGAAAAGGAAAATCTCTTATGCCGTGAGAGTCATCAGGCATGAGGCAGCCTGGGCACAGCAGCCTCCGGTCTGCAGCAGCTGCACTCAGCAAGCCCAAGAGTCAAGGCTTTTTTTGGGAGCAGGGGTGGACACAGTGAAAACCAGCCTGTCCTTACTCAGAACTCCTGCCTTCAGGGCACTCAAGCCAAAGCTGTCTTATTGTGCTTTTAAAAGAAGGCAAATGCAAACAAGGCATCATTTCCTTCAAAGCCTGGCACTTCTCCTCCGCTGAGACATCTAGAGCTGCTATCGTCACCAGGAGGCGAAGCCGGTTTATGAGGGGGAGGAGGAAGAGTTAAACCAAACTCATCAACCCACCCAGTGTCATCAGCCAGCAGCTCTGAGCACACTCTCACCACGGGGAAGCGGCGGAGAGACACGACATCCCAGCAGCACGTCCAAGAGAGGATGTGCCCTAAAGGACGCAGCTGATTCATCATCCCGCTCTGGAATCTCGGGCAGTTTCAGCTGCAGAGGCCTGACCTGCTTGGCAGCCAGCCGGCCGGCATCAGCTGCCTCCTGGAAAAGGGAAAGAACAAATAAAAAGCTTTGAAACGACAGAGTGGGCAGAGGAATGGGGAGGAGGGGAAAGGAGGGAGTGTGTGGTGGGGGGAAGAGGTGGCCTTGCAGGCTCTGGTTGAGTAAGAGGCTAATTCCCCCCCACTCCCTGACCGCGACTCCATCTAATTACCCTGTTTCCTCTGAGCTGATTGGAAAGTGGCCTTGTGTCTGGAAAAGGCAGTAAGCATCTTACATGCATCTGTTCCACCTAATCCCTAATAACTAGTGCCTGTGTGTTCCGGGAGAGGAGGAGGAGGAGGAGGTGGGGGAGGACAGGCAGGGAAGGGCCGGGAAGGGTTTCCCATGTAGGCTGCCATGTGGCAGAGGGCAGGGAGGCCTTGTGGCCTGGGCCGGGGGCTTTCAGGGAACTAACATTGTTCCTCTTCCGCCTGTTTCACAATCTGGAGGCCCTTTCCTCCTTCCCCTTGCAATAATAACAAATTTTATTTTTAAAAAAGAAAAAAAGAAAGAAAAAAATGCAAGAGACTTGTGGCTGGGAATAAGGGCACATTTTGCTGAGCCTCGCTGCACTTGGGATCTGTTTAAGCCACTCGTTTTCCCCTTGCCCTAATCCTGCATTATCCTTTAGGCATGACGTTCAATTCCTGAAGGGGGGTGGGAAGTGCTCTCCAGGGCCCTGCCTGGTTTGCCCAGGAATTTGGATTGCACTTTTTATGTGCAGCTCCGGGAAGGGGCAGAGGGACAATTACGCAGCTGTTTAGTAGCCAGGCAGGCACATTTTCAGCGAGCTCTTCCTAGTGGGACCTAATTCAGCTCGAGGAGAGCACAGGGATAAACATCTCCATTTGCCAGTAAAAGGATTGTCACATCTGGAATTTACACAAGTTACGAGGAGCCAGGAGCCACTATTTCGTTTCACTTGCGTGGTGTCATAAAACATGTTAGCACTTTAAAAGCGTTGCGGGGCAGATGGATGCAGGACAAGGACAACAACTCCCACAGCCCTGCCATGCCCCCACCCTCCCCTGCCACCATCGCGGGACACCAGACTCAGCCCTGCATCTTGCTCAATGCCCTCAACTTTGCTCCAGCCCCTGGGAAAGGAGGCTTTTGGCCTCCAACGCTGCCAGCTGGCTTCTCTTCTCCGCATTATAGTCCCAGGAGGCTGGGAGAGAGACCCGCTGTGCCCCCTGCACACCTCACAGGGAGTGCCAGCCTTCCCCTCAGGCTCAGCCCACGTGGAGGAGGACTCAGCAAGGGATGGCTTTAAACCAGTTTCAAAAAGGTTGGCTGTGCCTCTGTGGGCTGTTTATTTCCAAGAGCTTTCCACATTTATCCAGCCAGTTTTCCACTGTTTTGCTTTTGGATTTTTTGCAGTTGCAAGCTTTGAGCGCTCCTCCTTGCAAGAGTCTCCTCGCTCATCCCTCAGCACACTAATGGTGCCAGAGGTGGTGATGGGCCCTGTGAGCTGAATTCCCATAGGAAGCCCCTGTCCTCACCCCAGCAAAAACACTGGGAAGCCTCCTGAAAAGAGCAGTGGGATACTGCAGGCATCCACAGGCTGGACCCATCCCATTCATTAACAGCAGATATAAAAATTAAGGGGAAGAAGATGAGGTCAATGGCCTTTTGACCTTTGACACTTCTCATCTGCACACAGGCCTTAAGGATGAGCAAGGCAAAACCCACCAGTCCGTATTTCCCTGTTTGTTTTTTCTCTCACTTTGTCTCACGGAGTGGTGGTGACCCAAGAAATCTGCTGCCTGCTGATTTTCATTATGGACCGAGCCACACTGAGTGGGAAAATCAGAACAAGCACAAAAGTCATCTCTCGGCCCCCCATGCTGTTTGTGAAACACCATGCAGAGGTAAAGGCCTTCAGGTTACCATGTGGAAACCCGGCTGTGATTTACACCTCCTCCTCATCCTCCCTCCAAGGGACAAAGGGCTGCCTTGGGGAGGCTCACTTTGCCCTGCAGAGGACTGGCAGCATCACTGCTCAATTTGCTGCTTGCTGACAGGGCACAATCCCAGCTTTTGTGAGTCATCCACCTAGCCCATGCCGTATGGGATCCACAGCCTGGAGTCCCACCAATGCTCACACGAGTCTGTTGGGGAGCAAACCTTATGTCAGGGATGGCTGCCCTGCAGTGGCACACACAGCAGTAGCTGTGCAAGGGTGATGGGAGATGGGGAGAGCTGGCTGCCTTCTGCTTGAGCTCTCGTGACTGACCAGAAAAGTGAAGTGAAAGAGCACAGTGGGAAGCTGCAAGGTCACACTTTGCTTCTAGTGTTGTCCAGATCCTTCTGCAGAGCCTTCCAACCCTCCACATACATAATTCATCCCATGTTGGTCTAACTAAAGTTAAAGCCCCTTGAGGTAAGTTGGTGCAACTTTCTCATGAGTGCAGGCTCCTGACACTGTAAGATTAGCAGCTAAAAGAAAAAAGAAAAAAAAAAGAAAAAAAAAACCCCAAAACAGCACTTTAAAGTGTCTTCAAAACCTCCATCTTTAGGTAACAGATAAGTGGCATAAACAAAGTAATGTGCCCACAACCACAGGCAGTTTTCTGTTAGTTCAGGCTGAAGTACTCCGAAAAGGGAGGTCACCTTCCTCCCAAAGCTGCAAAGATGACTTCAGGGAGGAGCTGTGACCACAGGTGTCCCTGCAGCACATACTTGCCTGAATGTGTGAGGGTTGGCATGGAATATAAACAGTAGCAAGCAGATGGTGTTTTAGGAGGAGAAAATATCAAATTTATGGCCAGAGGTTGTGCTTACAGTTACAACTGCAGCCTCACCACCTCCTCCTCAGTATTCTTACCAGCCATGCCACAATGGCTCCAGCCCTCTGAACAACACCTTTTCCATAGCTTGGTCATTGCACCCTCATGAAAAAGAATCCAAACAGGCCAACCTGCTCCTCAGAAGACACACTGGCATGAGCTCTGCTCCCCAGCTGCATCTCCAAATGACAGGAGTTGCAGAGGGGGAAGAAGGAAGAAAATGTGGCTCAAACAGGTCTTTTCTATTAAAGAGTCAGCACAGGAGGAGATTTACTTGCACCAGAGTGCAAAAGACTGCCAAAACTTCCCTAGCACTTATTTGCAGAGCTGGGAGGAGAGCAGGGAGGTATGGCCACCTAGGCTTCCCTCAGTTAGTGCCTGTAGCAAGAGCAAGCGCTCACAGTTCAGGAGCTGTGTCTCACGGTCCTGTGCCGTACACAGAAAGTGTCAGCCAGTTCCTCAGTACCTTGTATTCTTTGAGATCCCTTTCAAAGCCTATTTAAGGGTATCTAAAACAACATTGGTGTTTGCATGACAAATCCCACACGCTGCATACACAGACATGGTGGTGTTCAAAAGTGCTAAAGAAATAAATTCACTGTATCCTGCTTCATGCTCTGCATATGGCACCATGCTCCCAGCCTAGAAGGAAATAAGACAATCACTATATTGTATGATATGGGTTAGAATGAAGTGGCTATTTTCTACTGTGCTTTCATTAAGGTCCTGTCTTTCCGGGATGAAACCTTCATACTTGGGAATACTAAGCAGATTTATTCTGACACCCGTTCTCTGGGGAAAGTCTGCAGCTTCTCAAAGACAGGTCATGGGTACAGCATCTTCATGGTCACAACCCACTGAAGCGCACTCATTATCACCCATCCCAGCTCAGGTAATTAATCCTCAATAGTAATGGCTTGTTTTAATTGTCTGAACTCTGTTAAGGCAGGACCGAGTGCCCTTAACTCCTCTAATTCTAGGAGCTGGATTTTCAGCTCACTTCATGATTTGTTTTTTTCCTTTCACTCTTGCACTGTCTTTGCACTAAATCACATACCATAGACCACACCTTAGGAAAATCCGTATCTTAAGGCCCCTGTCCTGGCCCAGGAATAAGCTGATTTTACATGGAAGATGGCCCTACTTTGAAGGTGTCCCTTCCACCCAAAATGTCTCTAAGATAAAGATATTATACTACTTGAGTGGGGAGAAGCAGAGTCAAAGCTGCGTGAAGCTGGGCTGACCCAGAGCATGGCCAGGGCACTCGGTTCCCCTGGGAGGAGATGCCTGGATCTCCAGGCCAATGCCTGTCCAGAGATGTCTCCTTTGGGGCTGCTGACACTCAGCAGTGAGTATAAAATAATGTCACATGAATGGGCTTGGGGGCAGAGTGACCACTCCTGAAAATCTGAGCCAGAAGCACTCACCCAGGGCTAAGTAGCGAGTGAACTGGCAGAAGCACAAGCCTTCATTCTCCTTCTTGCTGGATCTCTCCTTTAGCCACAGGTTCCATGGTGAAAACTTAGCTGCTGCAACTTTATATAACAATTATGTCACCATTAGATTTCAGAAAACACCTGCAGAATCCAGTTAACTTACCACACCAAAAACCAAGAAAAAACAAGGTACTTCAGATGAAAAGATAAAATGATGACATTGTTTTCAAGGGCAAAGCCTTTACAGTTTATAATTAAATATAACCCTCTATTTGCACTATTAACCAAACTTTAATGGAAATCCTTGAGAACTTTACTTGATACACTTTAATGATAAAATGTAAATAAGGCCTTTTTAAAGCAGGTAACAAACTTCTTTTGCAAACAAGAGAAGGTATTTTGCCCACATCACCAGTGTTACAGGTGATCCAACTGAGGGGCCGAATGGACACAACTTTTCCCTTTCTATATGAACTGATGTAAATCAGAAGCCATTAAACTGGTCATTAAGCATAAGACAAACACAGGGGTATGCTGTGGCTCTAGTACATTCAGCTATGGGTTTATATTTAAATATTTTTACAGTATCTTTTACATTGGTGCTTGGGTACTCCCAGATAGTCAGAGATGCAATTAGATAAAAGAGGCTATTTGACTTTTCATCCTTATTCCTTCCTGCCTTGCTTTTGTGGGTTTAAAGCACAATCTTTCGACTAATTAAACACATTTGAATATTCTGTTGCATGTGCAATGAATGAATAATTAGGCTCAAGAGAAAGATTATGTGCTTTCGAGCTGACACTAACACTTCAGCATAAAGGTACCCCAGGCACCACTAAATGTAACCTATGAGCTCCCGCTAATAGCACGCTGCCTCTGATCTCCAGAGGATTATCTTACTCTGGAGCTCTTATAGGAGCTGTATACTGAAAGGGCTCTGAAACAGATACCCTGTAATTTACATCCCTGCTTAGTGCCTCAGTGAGGAAAGGCGGCCTTTGCTCCAAATTGTAAGTGTTTCTTTCCTTCTCTGCTTTTCAGGTCTGAAGTTAAGGCACATGATCTTCAGGGTGCAGAGTGCTGTAAAAAACCTCTGGGTGGTTTCAGGGAAGAAAGAGTATTTTTTTGCTTTTTTTTTTTTAATTTTAAATTCATATTCAGTACCACTTTTTTCCCCTATAATCACAGAGAAACCTCTTAAATAAATTATACTAGACAAAATCCCATCTATCTGCTGCAAAATTAAAGATATTTGCTGCTTTATCCTCACCAAGCACTACGTCCTAGTGCTATTATTTACTATACCTCATAAATATCAGTCCTTTTCCTTTCCTCTACTTGGCACTTTTCCCATCAATTTTACGCTGCTGCATTTTGTTTTTGTTGTTGTTTTTTAACAGAGGTTACCCTCCCAGCCACCACATGATAGTGATTTTTTTCCCCCCATTTTGTGGTTGGACCAGCTCAGACAACTAGATAAATATTGTGGGGAGCTGACCCTTAAATATCAGGTTTTCCTGTATTTTTTCACAGAGGTCTTTATTTCCTCAAGTTGTAGGTGGTCTCCTTAAGACAGCAGGGAGACGAAACTGGTGTAGTGAAAGGAGGGGGAAAAGAAGAAGCAGAAAAATCCCCTTAGGATGTTTCCTGTGGTAAAACAGAGTAAGGAATATTTTCAGAAACAGTAAGAAATATTTTTGGGCAGCTCCAGGAAAATTCAAATCCAAATCTTCTGTGAGGTTCAGTGAACCCCACACATTGTGCATTTCCTCCAAAACCCAAAGCCAGGCAACTTGAACCTGATTTTGGAGTGAGTAATGGGGACCCTGGCATTTCTGCACCCCTTGGCAGTTGTGAAGAGGGTTGTGTGGTTTTTTTTAAGATGTCTGTTTTTTCAGAGTAAAGTTTTGCTTTAAAAAACAGTGGGCTAGCTACTGAAAATCAGCCCCTATTGTCAGCCACAGATCCAGATGAGGGGCAAAGCTCCTTTACCAGCAGTACAGCTTTAGCATAAGCTATCTGCAAATTTCCTCTTATCTGAAAATGATACCTGGACAGGCCAGGAGATAACAACAGGCGTGTAGCCTCAATGTCAGCAATACCTGTGACATTGCTAGCATTTCCCTCTGGTTAGCATGCCATATCACACCGTGCCATTGCAGTTCAGTCACTTCTCCACAGGGTCAGCCCCCTTAAGAAACCTCCTCCAGCAGGAGGCTGGCTTACGCTTGTTGTTGTTGTTTACACTGTCAATAGGGCATGTCCTCTGCCGGCACTCAGGAGAACTGTACCAGAGAAGATGCAGGACCTGTGTCAGTGTACTTGATCCCTGGATTTCATCACACATGACTTCACTGCAACTGCTTTGCTTTACCCCTTGCTCAACAACAAAGAGGTACCTCGACTTCAGAGCTTTGTATCTGTGTGTAGACTTCAAGGCTGACATACCTCAACATTGAGAATAAAGTGAAAATCTCCTTTGCTGTTCCATAAACATGCAGTTTGGAAAGTTCAGGGATGAAACAGGTGCTCAGCTAGGGAACATTTTGTGCTGGTCCCAGCTTATGGTGGCCAACTCCAAACAAAGCTGCTCCTCTCCCTGGGCCATAGATAGTCAGGTTGGCCCTACTGCTACCCTTCTGGAGCCCACTTCCAGCCATGGTGGAGCTGCTCCATGCCACTCATTGTGCTCCACTTGTGAGGCTTTCAGGTTGCAGGTACTTGACACGGGCATCTGCTGGGACCCTTCTTCACTTTTCTCAAAGCCCTTTTCTATTGGGAAGGAAACCCCAAAGTGTCTGCCTATTCACATGGAAACATACCACCTATCTCAATTGGAGCTGCTGAGGCAGCTTGCTAAACTTAATTACCAGTTCCAAGGCTGAGACAGTGAATGACAGGTCAATTCATGCAGTGAGCTAGCAAAGATTGCTGATAAGTGCTTTCTAATTGAAAGGATGATAAAACAACTATTAGTCACTGAGGAGCTTGAAGAATGGGTTAGTCCTGGGATTTTTTACACTATGAAGAGCAAGAGGTGCTAATCTCATCAGCACTCTGTTGTCATTTCCTACCAGCCTAGTCACTCAAAAGGTCCAGGAGGGATCATGAGTGACATTGCAGAGGGGTGACCAGTCACCGCTCCCTCAGTCCTATTAAGGAGATTGAATAGAAATAATCATTAGCAACATGGATAAAGTCTATTGGACTCTGGAGAACATCAGACATTTCTGTGAATTAGGGAAAAATCAAAGAACAAAAAATAACCTCTTGCACAGATCTCCCTTGGGAAACCAGTTGTGTTAACAACACGATGTATCCTTCACTTTTTTACCCAAAGTGTAAGATGGAGGCTGTGGCATCAGAGGTCCAGGTATTCAAGGCTGGGCTCCAGCAGCAGCAATGATCTGCTGCATACAAGCAGTTTGAAACTTGGAGGCTGAACTTTGCCCTAGAAAAACTTCTAGATGGGCACACGTACCTGTTTGTCACTCAGGCATCAGGACAGTCACTCTGGCAGCAGGGCACAGCAGTCATACAGGATGAGAAATGCTCTTAGGTTGTCACAGCACGAAAAAAGTCAGTAGAGCTGCATTGCAAAAGCCCTGTGCCTAGACATGACCCAAAAGTTATTTTCTGCTGCATTAAGTGACACAACACTGGGTGCTGAGAAGGCAAGGAAACAGCAACCACCCATTAGCAGGAACCTCTGCTGCCTTGTTTCCACACTGTGCAACCCTGGATGATTTTTTTTCTGCTGCTTCTCTTTCCTTTCCTCCTCTTTTGCCAGTCTTTCTAGACCAGGAGATGTTCAGAGTGAGACTGCCAGTGTACTTCCTCTGTGCCTAACACGAAGGGCTACAGTCCTGGCTAAAGGCTCTGGGTACTGCTGTCACATGAATAATCATCCAGGACACTTGCACACACCCCATTGCTGAAATAATAGACATTTTAGAGGTGAGCCTGGGACATGGCCAAGTGACACAGGCCACAGAACACGTATAAAGTGAGGTTTTGCCAAAGGCAAAAGGTCAGGGCATTTTTGCACCCTTAAGAAGCAGACTTCACTTTCTGCGTTAGGACATGCCTTACTTTCCCTTTTCTTCCTCACCAACATCCACACAGAGTTCACACTACATGGCATTTGGCATCTGCAGTGTGAAGCCCAACATTTTCCAGGAGGTTGCAGTACTCCCAAAATAGTGTTTTCCATGTTTAACTAGTGACATATTTGCTGTCTCTCCATCAAAAATTGTGTAAATTCTTTCTACAAAGACCATTTTGCATGGAAAAGAGTGTGCCTGGCTGGTGCGTCTGACTAGATATTGACATGAGGGAAGAGAGACAATATTTACACTAACCAGTGTGTGAAAGTAGTCCAATGATGGCATGATAACTGTGCTTGTATTTATGGATTCAATGAATTTGTAAATAAATTCCAGATCGCCAAACTCTTGGAAGCGCAGAGCAGTCTTGATCACCTCATTCTTGTACTCAGTACATTTGCCTCAAATCAAAAGCCCGTGGCTATGGACAGACACCTTCTTCACAGTCAGATGTGCAGGTAGATATTTTAGCAGAGCTGCATGAGACAAGTCGGATCAGCAGCTCTGCCAGTAAAATCTTTGAGATGTAACTTGCAGAGGAGGGGTAGGGCAAAACATTCATCCAGCAACTGCAGCCAAAACATTCTTCCAGCAACTTTGGACCAACATGTCCAAAGCCAGGAGTGTAGTGACTACAATATTATGGTAACATTTAAACCAGGAGCCTCATATAGTGCCTGACCATAAATGAAGGTCACCTTGGGCCACTCACTTTGCACCACATCTCAGGCTTGATCTCCATACACTCTCCATGTTATAATTATCTATCAAATATAATTATGCATATATAAGTATGCATCAAATATGTATTGGTTTAGTTTATGTAGTCTCTAAGAGTACTATCCCTGTTGCACAGGCACCTATATTGGTATAAAACTTTACTGACTAAGTAAAATATATTCCTATAATATTTTTATTTATTTATGGATTTTTTTAAAAATATTTGTTTATACTTACATAAATATTTCTAACTTAAGGATAAGCTGTGCCACTCTACATCCATACAAACTCCTATGTGTCCATTCTCACTGCAAGCTTTTCTACTGGTGTTTGGAAAAGTGCACCTTCTGAAGCAGCCCAGTCCATGGTTGTGGTGGTTATAAAGCTCCAATATACCTCCCAATAAAGGCTCCCCCCCGCCATTTTCACACATACTATGGATTAAAGAAACATATCTCAATGCCACAGAAGCTTTTCTCTTTCACTCCATGTTTTTATCATCAGTGAACATCCTTTGGATCAAAGATTGTTGTTTGATCCCAACAAAAGGTTAACAACAGTGTTAGCAGTGCTTAGGCAGTTCTTCCAAATAGCCTACCTAGGGGTACACTACAAATCAGATCAGGCAACTGATCCCCTTTTATTTTAATAAAAACATGTTTAATTTTTCAGGGTCTCTTTTTTTTTTTTCTTGAAACATTTTTTCAAGCCAGCTGCAGCTGCATCCTTCATCTCCTCAAGCCACAGCCTGAATTAGCATCCATTTAAATTAATAAGACAGATATCCCAAGTTTTATGTTTCATACTCACAGCCAAGCTGAGCAGATGTGATGCATGTTTACAAATGCAGAGACATTTTGGGAGTTGCCCTGTTTGATGTCTGGACTTGTTTTGTACACACTCCTCATATTGCTGAGAGTTCTTGGGGGAGGACCCTTCCATGATGACTTTACTAAATGAAATAAAATGAAGCCTCCTTCTGTTTAAGTCAAAGAGAACTTGGCTTAAAGCTTTTTTTCTTCCTTTTTTTTTCCAGTTGCAAGATATCTCTTTAGCCTATATCTAACTGTGTCATCAGTAATTAGGCATGTAAAGGAAATCAATCTCAACAGGGATGTAAGATTCAAAACCTGCCAGTAAGCAGTAGATAACAACTCTTTTTAAGCACAAGCTCTTCAAAATTATGCTTATTAGTGGAATACAGTCTCTGAGTCAAAGTCCCAGATAACCTAACAATAATTAATTTTGTTGAAAAGAATAAGCCTGAACTGTTGTGCTGACCACAGGAATACAAACCACTAAGATAAAGCCTGGACAGAGTTCCTCTAGGATGGGAAGTATGAGCAGCAGTGTGACAATTGCAAGGAGGGACAGCAACATAAAAAACAAACTTACCAACAAAATAAAAAAAAAACCTCCTCCAACACAAATTTAGGCCTGGGAAATGCATGTCAGCCAGTAAGGAACTCTGTTCCAGTTAGCCTGGAGATTCACAGTGTGCTGACCAGGTGCAAACCACAAGGACCACTTTGGGGGAATATTTTTTCTCCAGCGGTTGTTTGCATCAAAAAGTTTTCTCTGATAGTTACTGGCACTAAGATTTCCCACACAAGCAGACAGGAAAACATGGCAAAGCATAGCTATTTTGTGATCATACATGTACTTCCACATCTCTGTACACACACAATCACATGCAAACACTGAAACGGTCAAATGTGGAGCTGAAGAGAGGCAGTGTCCCTTCTTGGTTAAATGTCTGCAAATGTAACATCAGGTTCAAACACTGAGGTGATGTAAATTGGAAATGCTGTGTTTAAATCAGTACAGTAAGGCCATTTTATGCTCATCCAAAATATCTTCTCTAAGTATGTAGGCAGGCCATGCCCTCCTAAATCTGAGCAGATCCACTGAGTCAGAGGTAGTTTACAAATATTTAATTTTATTCTTTTTCCTTCCACCTGGAACATATTAATCCATAAAATTTGGGAAACAAAGAAAACCCACTGCAGTGTATTATTAGATTTTGAAAAGTCCTGCATTCAACAGTTGGAGTTGGAGTTACTTCCAGGAGTTAGATTAACTAAGTTGCTCTAGCAACACAGTTCTTGAGATGCAGTCAGCAAACCAAGACTACAAAAACAAAGAACCCACAAATCAAGCCTACAAGGACAGGCAGCTAGTTCCATTGCTTCTGACAGCAAGGTAGTTTAAGCCCTGCTTTCATTTGGCCATGTGTGTCCTTAGTGATTTTGAAACTGGGAAGGACCTATTAGATATGTTGAATTGGGGTACTGCCAGTAGCTATTGCTTTCAAGACCTTTACACAGTGAGATGGGAAGAATGTGTCCATGAAATAGATACTGGAGCTTGTGTGTTTGTGCATGTGTGCGTCAACTTCAGAAGGAAAAAGGCCTGAATGAGTTAGATCTGTAAACTTAGCTCCCTTTGGGAAAACTCCTCCTCCAGAAACCTTCTACTTTTTCAGAAAACACACATTCTTATTATTCCAGCTCTCTCATATATTTTGTGATTCTGACATGCAGTAAGATCAGTGTCTACCTTGGCATGAAGGACTCCTGAAATTATGGCACAAATGAGGAATAAAACATCAAGACTGCTGCACAGATACACAAACTGATGTATAAGAAGGTTTAACATGCTGCTTAACAATCATGAATAAGAGTGCAAATGTACCCAGATACATCTCTATCTTTGCTTTTACAGTTTACACTTAATGACTTCATTTAGTCAAAATTCTTCTGTATCACAGAAAGAGCCACTAGGAAGACACTTGGAAGTTGAAAGGACATCACAACACTTTGCCTGTCTGTTTCCATCTTGCATCCATACCCTGTGATTTCAATTCTTCCTCCAAGCTGGACTGAAGAGGAATATAAACCAGCTGCCATTCCAGAGCATCACTCTGATAGGGAGGATGTGTGGGTAGAGAGCAGCTCAGAGGACACAAAGCTGACCACTGGTCACACTGCACTGCTTGCTGCATCCCTTGACTCTGTGCCACTTCCAGACTTTTCTTGTAGCTCCATGAGCCCTTTTATCAGCCCTGACACCTAGGAATTGCCTCTCTTTGTGATTTTAGAGCTCCCTGCCCTCTCCATACTGTCAATGGAAGCAGCCAGGCATCTGGAACAATTGGCAGGCCCCTATTGCCCTCCCACAGAGTGGGACAGGCCCTCCCATCAATTTGCTGTCTGGACCGGGAGTGTGGGAGGGGACAGGGGTCCTACCCACATGCAGCCATGGCAGCCGAGCTCAGCTGGGAGGCGCCTGCAGCTCCCAGGTTCAACCCCTCCACATCCAGCAACTGGAATTTCTCAGATGAATGCTCCTGCCCTGGAACTCACTCCCCTTGGCAGCTGCTCAGACCTTGAGTCTAATAACCTTCAGGGCATCATACAAACTTTATTCATTTTGTTTAACCTTTGATTAACTGAGTTTCTTCTACAGTTTTCTCTGGGATTGAGGCCTCCATGGCAAACAGGAGTGAGAAACAAACTGCTTAAGTTTTTCTGCTAAAGACAGCAGGGCAACAAAGTATCCCATGCTATCTAAACCAGAAAACAATACTGAAATGTGTACAAGAAAACAACCTTAACATTGATAAACCTAAAAACACTGTCTGTAAAGAAGTTGACTGCCTCTGCTTCTCCTTCTTTGGTAAAGAAAACATTTCAGACACAGAGCAGGGATATAGCAAAGGGCCAAAATAAAATGCAGAATTAATCTCTTTCTTTCTTTAATTTGTAAAAACACCTGCTATACTAAGGATGCAAGAAAAGTGTTTCTTTCCTCTCTGAGCAATTGCTAGAGCTGCTGCAGAGACATTTTGCAATTGTGAATACAAAAGCAGGTGGTTTACCTGGCAGTCAAGCTGTGGTTATGATGAAAGTCTGAAGACTCTGGTGATGGCATACACATGATCCTCTGTGCTACAGCTCACCCAGTCTCTCTTCTTTTTTTCCATGTCATTGGATTTTGTCATGACGTTTTTGAACCCCTTGCCTGTGGTTTCAGATCATCTCCTCCTTCAAGTGAAGGGACTGCCTCAGGGAAAGACAGCCTAGCCAAAGGCTCTTGTCCTAGTTGCCAGGATGAAGTAGGGGAGGGGAGAGGTATAAGGGATTTTAAAGTGTTCCCTGTAATTTGACAGTTGTTAATCATGTTCCAGCTCTCTTAGTGCCTCCAGCTCCTTCATAACTTAGTACGTACCTGCAGAACTCCAAGGGTTTCTATGGAACTGCATAAGATGAAGAGAAAAAATCCCGAGTTATTCCCAAAGCACTTCAAAATTAATTGGCTAGATTGTGGTGTTGAGGTTTGTTGAGCTTTTTCAAAAATCCTGACAATTTCTGTGGCTCAAAGCAGGGCAGAACTGACTTTCAGAGTCAGTGTGGTTGGAGCACGTTGCATTTCCTCAAAGATAAGAGAAGAGAATAATTTCACACTTTGCCTGGATTTGCAGTAACACTGGAGGTACGTGAATCACAGTGATAAATGTTGCAATGCACAGCGGACTCCTGATTCAAAGTCTTCCCTTTGTGAAGCCTTCCTATCTCTAAGACAGTATGATGTAGCTCTTGGGTAGATCCCAGATGTGGGATCCCACTTCAGCACAAACCACACTGAGAGCTTTGTGGCAGAGATGAGCCCTCTCTTCCTGGCCAGACAGTGCAAACATAGCTCAAACCCGCTCATCTCCTTTGGGTTGGACCTGGTGAGACCTGGAAAAAGGAAGAAACAAACACTACAACTTTTTGTGCCTCAGCCATAGAAAAGGACAATATGTACATGGCTAACACCTACTAACTCAACCATTAATGGTCCATACACTGGGCTTTCAGTTCTACATATTTTCAGTTTGATCCCTGGCAAGGTAAGGTAGCATCCACCACAGATATGCCCTCAGTGTTTTGGGGGAATCAGGCAAAACCCTGTGACTTCAGAATCTAGATCTGCATCCATATTTTGTAGCTACTGCCCAGCCCTGCTTTGCATTAACAGTTTTGGAAAACACCATCACAAGAAGAAGGGAAAAACAAAAGTTTCCTACTCTGTGTGATGAAGATCCCACTTGGGAAATCACCTACCCCACTACTCCTGCAAACAAGATGCCAGGCATAAATATTTCACCCAGCTGAAAGTAAACACAGATCCTTCTGCTAAACCTGCAGCTCCAGACAAACAGAAAAAGGCTTAAATGAAGGTGTGAGATCAAAAATGAACTTCAGCAGCATGAGTAGGCACAGTGCTGAGGAGCACAGGGAAGCAGAGGTGAAATCACTTAGCAAGAGTACACGGTGGGAATTTGAGTGACTCACAGGAGCAGCAGCTTTCATTATTTCAAACCATTGAAAAACACCCTGGGTCCCCACACCAAGGTGTGGCTGCACGTATTGAAGCTGTCTCAGGTTTCAAGTGGTGGAGGCATCAGTGGGGCATCTGGGTACCCCTGGGACTCCTCCCTGCCCCTTGATTCCCAGGCAGAGTAGCAGGATCTGCACAACATCAGGAATGTGGAGAGCTGCCCACATTCCTGATGTTTCAGGCAATCCATGTGGAGGGGGAAGGCAGCCCCCTGCCTGGGGTGTCCCCCTTCAGGGATACGCTGGCAAGGGGATCAGCCTGGTGTTGCTGTGGAGACAAAACTTTGATCTTCCATCTTCTGAAAAAAGTAAAGTGGTGGGAAGGATAGAGAGGGGAGAGGAGGTCACAGAGCATGTAACCACCCAGAGATATTGCCCACCACCTGGGAATCCCCCGAGCATGGGAGAGGGCTTCCTTTGCCAGAAAGCTCAGCCAGCTGTTTTCCCAAAGGGCTCATTGGGGTTACAAGTATCTACGCATAACAAGGAGCATCTTTTAGCCAGCTCTGCTTTGTATTAAGGACTTAGTAAGCACTTTCTTAATTCATTTAGTGACATCTTTCCTTCATTTCCCAAAGCCAGTCACCCACTGAAATGACTGACCTTAGTAAACACCAGAAAAAGAGTACCATTCTTTTCACAGAAAAGCTTGGCATTAGTTCCCACTAACAACTGCAGAATCCTTATGGAAGAAGCCAATTAAGCAATAAAGCACAATAAGGTACAGCCTATTACACTAACATAACAATTCACACCTACAGTATTGCTACTAGAATCACACCTGCAGTGTTGCATAAAGCCAAAAGCCAGGAACTGTTAAAACAAGCTAGCCAGTTTATTATTACAATATAATTTCTGCCTGGGGATACACTGCAGAAAAGATAAAATATTGCTATGTGCTCTTATTAGAGTGTGAAAAAAAAATTTGGGTTTTAAAAGGGAAATGAACAAGTGGTTTAATAGTAAGGTCTAATGGAGCTTGATTAATTTAAAACTATACAAAGCCAAATGCTGAAAATTAGCTATTGGGGTGGGAGTCTGCAGCAGAACAGGAAAGGAGTGGATGAGGTGACACCATGGCATCTCGCATCTGGTCTGTGGCCTGCTATCATGGGGCAGGTATTTAGCTGACCTTAACTGAAGGACCTCATTGAAGCCAACAGAGCTATTATGTACATAGAGCTAGCTGCTGGGCTGGAAGTAATTTGATAGAAAAAAAAAAGTGCTTAGTCTAAGTATCTAGCATGCTTTCCCTTTGAAACATCCCCCAGCGATAACTATCATAATTATACTTCCTTGCTCAGGTTGGTTACAGAGGAATTAGGCAGCCATCACCCATTCTTGCTCTCTTGTGAAGAGTTTCAGCTGTGTTATAGGCATGGGACATGGCAGTACTCAACTGTGTCAGCAGAAGGTCATTCCATCCTAAAGTACTCCCAAACAAAGAAGAATTAAAAAGATCCAGACAGTAGAGACCCCCTCTCTTATGGCACTCCCCAGATAGTTCAGAAAACAAAAGAAAAGTGTTATTTTCTTACAGCGTGAATGGGGCAGGATGTTCCCATTTCACTTGGTTATGACCCTAATTGGACCAGTTCCAGGATATAAGTGAGGGAGTGGTGCTCTGGTACTTGGGAAGTACCTTTTCCATTTAGAATTGTGGCCGGCCAGAGAGCAGATGTAGCCTGCTCCTGCTCCAACACCTGGCAGGTTCTGGGGGCCCATGGGGGAGCTGAATGCCGGCATTCAGTCTTAGTGCACCTCTAACAGTGCCTGAAGCTGCCCCTGGCATCACAGGCAAAATAAAGGCACTGCCCATTCCCACGCACTGGTAAGAAACCTCCTCCTTCCTGTGGGCTCCTCTGGCAGGCTGGGGCCCTGACTAACAAGCCCCACAGCTTTTGTGTCTCCTCATCTCCCTGATGGCCCCAGGCCGGTCACCTCAGCCCTGCTATCACATCCTCCTCCTGCCTGGCCTCCCCGGCCTCTGCTTTCCTGTCTGCCTGCTGAGCTGCCACAGAAACAACCTTCCCTTCCCACTGCTCGGACCTTGTCCCCAGGTGCCCCTGGGCGGCGGTGGTCACACCAGATCTGCTGTGTGGAGGCTGCAGCCGCCTTCCCTGGTAACACTTTAACTCTAAGCAGCCAGGCAGGCGGGTGAAATGTCAGGGTGGTCCCTGCATTGCCCCTGCTGACAGAGTCCTTTTCCATGGTGTGGCACACCAAGGTCCCATGTACAGTCAGCCTCCTCAGACCGGGTGTCCATCCTGCCCACGTCCTATCCTGCATTCCAGATCCCCAAGAGTGCCTTTGGGACAACAGCCAGGCACAATGCTTGCCCACCACCAGATGCAGAGGACTGGAGGGCACTTGACCTCAAGCCATGTCCCTGTGCCCTAGGTGGCCCCTCAGATCTGCAGACCGTGCCAGTCTCCAAGAGTCCATGTGTGACAAAACCCAGGGATCCAGGCACTCCCTGAGGAACTGAACACAGAACCTGGTGGAAACCCCATAAATTAAAGGCCAGAGAGTTATTAAGGATTACCACTAATTAGTTAAACCTTATCCTCTGTGATTTCCACAGAGACTCAGTGGCCCCAGCCTCCACTGCTTCTCTTTGGAGCTGAGAAGTTATCAGGGGCACTTCCCTCAAAACTGGGTTGAATTGCAACATTTTTCAGTGGCAGTGTTTGCTTTGGTTTGAGGATTTCTGTGTGCAAAACAAACAAACAAAAAAAAAACCAAACCCAAAACACAACAAACAAGTAGATAATTTCTAGGAACAAATTAATGTGTTTAGGGACCAAGTTGGAAGAAGGGGGTGAGGAAAAAAAACAAACAGTGAGGGACTTTAGAAATGACTGGAACATGCCCAGAGCTTGTCCTAAAGTGAAATGGGGTGAAAAAGGGTCAGATCTTTTTCTTTCAAATTTGTATTCTACCTGGTTAAGTGGCTCCTTGAAAATTTGTAACAGCTAAAAGTGTGTTTCACTGCTCTGAAGTAAAAGTAATCTGGTCTTCCTCTGCCATACATACAATTCATTCGAAAACCTAGGAATATAGGGGAAGAGGAGTGACACTCTGTACACTTTTTTTTTTTTTTAAGAAGCCATTTCTAAAGATGTGGCAAGGGGGGGAAAAAAGCACAGAAAGACACATTTTATATTAAAACCAGATGTGGAAAGGGGGAAAAAAAATTAGGTTTGTGCCAACCAGCATCAAGGAGAATTTTTTGTGTTTCAGCTTCGGAGTTGAATCTGCAGCATGCCGCGCCACATGCTGATATCCATCAGTGTAATGACTACAGCATCTTAGCAGCATAACACTCCTGCCAGCAGAGAGAGGGGAGTTGGTAAACTAAAATCAACCTCTTCTCTCCATCTATTACAGTATAACCTTTTGGACAGTTAGTGAAAACTGGTTCAAACTGTGCTGCCGTCCAAACTTCAGACCCATTGAAAAGCCTGCCTTGGCCCCAGGCCAAAGTCCAGTGTTTTATTACCAGTCTCATGTCTTTCTCTCCCTTGCCTCCCATTACCCACTTGTTTTCTTCAGCTTTTTATTTTAAAAAAATTAAAAGAAGAGGAAGAAGAAAATAAGTATCCTTATAGTACAACTATCTTAACAAATTCTGGTACATGTCACAGACCTCGTTAATTGATTCCACATCCAAAACAGAAGACTTGGGCTATTTTTGTTGTTCAAAGCTGTACATTGGCCAACATCCTCTGCATATAATTAACCCCCTATTTCCATGGAATCTCTGCATTAACTTATTACAGACTCGGCTGGTAATGAACTCCCGGGAGAAGTCCACACACAAACATTGGCCATTGGCTTCGCTGCCCACGTGGATTAAACAAAAATTAATCTCATCTATTTGGTTATTCATTTGGTGTCTTTAAATTGGAGGCATTTTTCTGCTTCGTTTGATGCACACAAAGAAAGAGGGATCTGGCTACTGAACTTTATCCAGAAACATCCATGTGTGGAGCAGATTAATGGGAACTTTTCATACCCATAATAGCTTTACAGCAGCGAAGTAGAACACGCAGTTCTCCCTGGGTGACTATAATGCTCTGGGAGACAGGGAAAACAAATGTGGCTAGAAGATAGTAATGTTTTGCTCATCAAGTGCTGTGTAGTTTAGACATCACTAAAGTGACGTGTTTAGAACTGAACTTGGGAGGAAACTCACATTTTGTTAATGTTGGGGGGTTTTGTATTGTTTTGTTTTAGACACTGAAGTAAAAAGAAGGATGTGACAGATAGAGATGTCCCAAAACAGCTGCTGGTATCAAGTGACCACATGTAAAATGGTAAAAGGGAATTGACAGGCAGACTAGTAAGGAAAAGAAGTGGAAGCAGCAGGGATGGCTGACTCTCCCTCTACCCACTTCTCACTTGAAATGGTGATTTCTAAATAAAGACAATAGAACAGATATTTTTATATGAATTATAACTTAACTGGTAGCAACCACCTAGCTGAAATCCCAGAGAGCAAAATCCCTCCTTCTCCAGGCTTTGCACTGACCACAGCTCAGCCACCTTACTGCTGTGCTTTTCCCTATGGGATAAGGCAGGGTAAGAATAGCAGTGTCCTCTGGAAAATGCTCTGAGAGCAACTAGAGAAGACCTTAAGTGGATAATGCTAAATAAACTCACTTCTCCCCTGCCTCCTCTCTACCTCTCAAACTCTTTCTCCAGAAGAGGGTGGCTCCTGGGTTTTGGTTGCAGTCTTCAACAGCAATCATCACTATACCATGTGGGGATCTCTCTGGTCCCTTGGGCTCACTTGGATGTGTCCTGAAGAGGTGTCATCGGGACAAATGGTCTCTTCTTGTGGACACAAAAACTGGCATTAATTCTTGGCATTAACTGCCTTTGTCAGGTCAAAAGCATCAAGGTCATTCCATCTGTGCTAAGGAACTTCCTCAACCAGACCCTTAAAATTCATGCTCTAACTTCTGTGGACAGTACTAATCCCATTTCTTGCATGAGATCCAAATGCAGCAAACCTGCCTTTCCCGTAAATGCCCCTCCCTGCCTCTCATGTGATTTTGGTTCTATTTAGAAAATACTTGTTACTTGGAAAGGTATTTATGCAAATTTTCAGTTGAGGGTGTGCCATGTGCTGTGAAAACTCACAGTACTGCCTAAGTCACCTCCTTGTACAATATTCCTGCTGTTGTAGGACAGTGTGGAAGAGGAGTAGACCTGGCCACATGCTTCAGAGGCCTCGGGATTTCCCCTGACAAGGGCCCAGACAAGTGCTTCTCTTCCTGCAAGCCAGAGATGGAGCCCCTCCAAGACCAGCACATCAGCAGTGGCCTGAGCAGACTGAAGGACCACATGCAGCACAGCCCATTCCTCACAAGGGAGCTGCCAGCCAGGATCAATGCTGGACAAAACCTCTGCCTTTCTCTGCAATGCTGTCATTTTCAAACTGAACTTTTCAGGCCCACCTGGCACTTGCTCAGGTGATTAAAGGTTGGAGTGGCAATTCCCTGCCTAACAGCTCCCAAGCCAGCTGGATTAAACTTCCCTGGTGCTTGTTTACATGCATGAAATCCTCCCCAGCAGAGGAGCAGGGGCAGATGGGCTTGGAGGAAGGTGAGCGTGGTGGCCCAGCTCCTTCTTGGAGGCATCTGTCCCCTCCTGCCCCCCACATCTCCATCCAGCATCCCCCCAGGCAGCAGGGCTGAGGCAGCAGCTGGCTGTTCCCCCCACATCCCCAGCAGCTGCTGTCCCCTGCCACCTCAACATCCCACAGGCATGGTGAGCTACATCAGTGGGAAAGCAGCCAGGGGTCACTGGTGTACAGCAAGAAGCAAAAATGGTCAATGTGCATCAAAAATGGTCAATGTGCCATCTCTGCAAACAGCCTGGAGCCCCACAGTGCAGGAAGCACAGATGGAAGAAGCCCCTCAGGGAGGAGGGGACTACCTGCCCTGCACCTCAGCCTTGCAGGAGGGAGCGGCAGGAGCGGTGTACCTTGTAATACCTGTTTCAGATACACCTGAACAGAAAGCATTATAAATCGCTGAAGGGCCTGGGAAAAGAGAGAGCATTCACATCCATGGCCTTAAGTGCTCTTCCCCTGAAAACCACCTGCTGAGATGTTGCCATGACTCTCATGGCAATGCCTCCAGGGTGGTGTGTCCTGGGGTGACATTACCATTCATCTCCTGCAGTTTGAAAGATGAGCAACAGGACTGTGACTGGGTGCCCCATGCCTTCTGTGTCATTGTCAGGCTGGACAGGGAGTGGATAGGCTTTGTTCATCCAGCAAATGTCTCCAGTCACTTCTGGCAGGCTGCCACAACATACTGGCTGACATCTCCTACCAAAAAAGAAGGAGAGCAGAAAGCAAGGGGTGTACAGAAAATGGAAATCAGGCTTGAGGATAAATACCAAAGCCAGTGAGGATGTGGCTGAGACCCACCCACTTCTGCAAAGCAGCTTTGCAAGTTCTTTTGCCACCAGTGTTTAACCAGTCAACCAGTTCATCTAGTCAGCTACGTCAGCAAGCACCTCTGCTCCAACCACACCGCTCTGGTCCTCCAAGCAGTTGCTGTTCAGCCATGCTCAGGCACACCACTGCCAGCTGGAAACACACTGGCTCAAGGTACCGAAGCCGTGCAAAAAGCAGCAAGGCACAGGGGATCAGCTAGCTGCTGGAGGCTGACATAAGTTCTCCAACACAGCAGCCCAGCTCGCCTTTTTCCAGGCCCAGGGTGCCTTTTCCCAGGAACAGGGTGTCTCTGGCTAGATTACAGAAAGGAGAGCACAGCTGAGTCCAGGGCACAGCAAGAAGAGGAAGCAAAGCAGAAGTGTCACGTATGCTCACTGCATCAAACCCAACATCTGAAGGATGCTGCTGTCATTGACTGCACATAGATAATTTCTGCAGGCAAACACATCAGTTGGACGTGTCCAGGCCCATGTTCATTACCAGCTTGGAGATGAAGTTGGTGGGATTCCTGCAGTGCTGAATTACTTGGCTCATTGCTAGCACACATTCTCACATACGAGTTTTTGCACCAGAGTGCAAAAAACATTGTGTAAGAATTGTGACTTTAAGATCAGGATTGCACCTAATCTAGCAGTCTTTATTTCACAGTTCCCATGAAAACAACAGTGTGATTGCCCTTTATTCAACATTTACTAATGCTTCTAAAATACTGGGAAGAATTTTGCTAATCATCCATTTCCTTACACTTCACAAAGGAGCTGAAATAAACCCTTAAAAATTAAAAGACGTGCAACAACCAGCGGAGGTCTGTAAGCTGCACCAGTTGAGTAACCAGCCAGCAGATTACAGCACAAAAACCTTTTCAAAGGGGACTCTTCAGCAGAGCATCACTGAGAACTCCATGAATGAAGATTGCTGAGTGGCCTCTGAGGGATGATTTTGCTGAAAGTCAGTGAGACCCTGGGGGAGAGATTTAGGGAATTCACTTCTCATTCAGCCTAAAGTATTCTCAAAGCAGCTTGGATATCCACACCAACATCCGAAGCCTCCTGCTCAAGCACCCAAAATTCAGACCACCCACAGCTTTTGCACACATTCAGGCCCCCAAGGAGAGTCGAGGCTTGTCTAGCAGATCCAGAGTTTCCCACTTCTCTGCTTCTCATATTTCCTGACTCCATGGAAACTACCCTCAGCACAGGAGGGAGCTGCCTGTATTAGCAGGGAATGTAGCCTGGAGAGGAAGAGGAGGATAAAGCAACTCCTACTGCTCTTCAGTCAGTCCCAACCATCCTGGAAGCTTTGCAAGGCTCTGCAAGGAAGAGCATGAACCTCGGGGAACCTGTGGTGCATGTAATTGCCAGGTGACATCTTCCCAGGAATCTGGTGAAGGGACAGCTGATGGAAACAGTGACCAGGCAGCACATGGGAAACCCTGGGATTTCAAAGGGTTCCTTGAAGTTTAAAACTTGATGGCCTCCATCACACGCTTCCCAGTCAGACTTCCCATGATCACCATACAATTTTTCTTTACTCTTGATGGTGCTCTGGATGAAAGATACCAATCCATCTGTAATCATAGAAAAAGAACATTATAAAAAATCCCAATAACCTGTTGGGACCCAGTCATTTCTATGAATTACATTAAGTTCAGGAAAGAAAAAACAGGAAATTGATCTACAGTAAAAGCAGACAATGCTTTGTCAGGAAAGCGTAGAACTTCCCTATTTATCAAGCTGGGAAATGTCAGCTGGGGTTTTCAAACCCAACCTTTATGTGTCAAAAATGTAAAACTCACAGCAGAGCCAGGCTTCCGAAAGTTTATCTACACAGTTGCAAGCCTTGTATAGACATGAGGAAGTACTACCAGCTCAACAAATACTGTGATTTTTACAGTGAGTTATTCAGGCCAGTTCTGTGAATGTGTCTTTAATTTTCAGTTTATTTTGGTTTAGATTAAAATTGACTTTGAAATCAATTATTCTAGTTTCAAACCACTTTGTCCACTTTGTAACAATTTTAAACTTCGCTCTCAGTTGTGGAAAGTGACTTTCCCACAGAGCAGAAGACAGGACATGTTTTATTTCACACCTTTGTTTATTTGTGAACTCCTGTGTGGAGCTAGTCTTATTTTAGAATAGAAGCACTCATGCAGGGACTCAAGTAACAGGAGAGTTAGAGCCCATACAATTATTTCTGAACATTTCATGCTGCATGCCAGTTCTGATGTCATGACATAACTCGTTGTAATAGATTATTTGGGGATTAAAACCAAAACTAACAGGCATTATAAGGAAAAAATATTGCCACATGAGGGCATGCTTCATCTCTTTCAAATGCTTGCCTTTTCAACTCAAATCTAAGTCAAGTTATATTTTAAGACCTAGTTTTAGAAAAAGGAAAGCTCAGGTTTTATTTATGATTTGCTAGGTTTGTAACATACCAATTAAGTGCAAAATTAGCACAAACTTTGAAAAGAAACATTCTTTGCTTCCATCTGTGGTCACACTATTTTCCTGTGGTGACAGCAACATGCACTTTGGGCTTAGGGCAGAGGAGATGAGCTATCTCAATGCATAATACTCGTGTTCTGTACCACGTTGTACAAAATAAGCACAGCACAAAATCCAAACACAAAGTTATGAAAGACATAAATTTCACCTTTTGCCCAATGGGAACAGCTTCCCGGCTGACGAGGCACGTCAAGGCAAAGGGAGGCACCTCGTACTGTTCTCTTGCAAAAGAAGGGCAGGGTTGCAGGGTTCCCCAGGGTTTCCCAGCTCTAACACACCACTGGATCCGTCTCCTCCCAGAAAAGTTTGAGTCTGCAGCCCCTTGACCATGAGATTGATGCCAAACCTGCAGCAGACCTTCCTGGGGATTCCTCAAGTCACATGGTCACCCCAACGAAGTGTCCCCTGCTAAGTCCCTCTTTTAGGCAAAACTACCATCATCAGGCTTTCAGAGCCTACCAGATCACTTGTGCTAACAGCCCAGAAATTATTTGGATCTGCAGACCGTACTGCAGACAGGCAGCAAGAGGTTAATCTGTCCACCTAGACAGCTGCACCAGAGCAGGAGTCCTCAAGGCCACAAACATTCTCTGGTCCTGAAAGGAGGATTTTGAACCCATGGTGGAGCACAGTGATTAATTAGGAAACCACAGCATCCAAGTGTTTGAGTCACTGCAAGTAATTTTTCTTCTAGTGAGTCAGAGTATCTGCACATTCTTGCTTCCTAGAGACTTGAGTACTTAAACATGCAGCATCCCACTCTGGTATCATGTCTGTGTCATGGAAATGATTTCACAAAACATTAGGATTCTCCCAGCTAATTCTGTTCTCTAGTCTGTATCCACTGATGTTCAACATGCTACAGGATCTGGCTTGAGGTGATTTGTTAAAATCAAATGGGAGGGTGTTTTCCCACATTCCAGAGGAGCAGGGTCACTCACAAAGTTTCAGAGCCTGCCACTCAGCTCGCCTGAGCTCAGCCATTCCTGCCAGAGGAGCACCAGATCCTGGAGCCTTTACCCTCGGCTGATGCAGGGAAGCAGGAAGCTGCAGGGGCTGTAGCTCTCCCAGCACACGGCTGCACAATTTTAGAAGTCTGAACTTGTGCTGACTAAGATGTTCACACTGACGATAAAAGCCAGCTCACAGGGGAAATCTTTCTTCAGTTTCTCCCTTTATCCAAGAGATGTAAATTCACTGTGTGTGTCTTTCACCACCGCACCCATGCTCCAAGATGACTTCATCTGGCCACAAAAAGACAGACGAAACATGAATGCTCCGATGCTTGTGAAGACAGGTGCAGTAAAAGCCTTAGGTGGAGCAGTAAATAAGTTGAGAGACGGGCTTTTAATCTGATGATGTGGAAAATACTGAATTCCCACATATTTTTGTTGTTGTAAACATCTTTCAATCATAAAACTAAAAGATGCCAGGCTTTATGTTCTCACCATAAAATATCACAGGAAAATGCACTGGGGTATTAGATGGGAGCATCACAAGTATTCTGTGCTAATGGTGACTACAGTTTTGCTGTTTCTTCTGTGATAGTACCAAAAGTAGTTTTGGGTTTATGCCAGAGCACATAAATACCTGGACATTTACATTTGCACTATGCCCCTGGAGGGACAGACCTGAAGGAGCAAGAGCCCTGGTTGTTTAGCCAGGGATCAATTTTCTCCTTATCTCCTTTGCCAGGCCATGAACTGCTTTTTCATGCACCTCCTGGCTTCTCCACCAGCTTTTGCACCACAGCCTGAACGCACCCATCCTCCCAGGATCCACCCATCCCTGCTCCAGAGTCCTGCAGCTCCTGGTGGAGCTGTAGCCAGCCACCCCTGCCCGCTGGCTTTGGCTGCTGCCCCTTCCTCAAGGACTTTGCACAGCCAGGCGGTCACCAGGACCCAGAAGGGCTGCACTGAGATTTGCTAACGGGTTGGAAAGAGAAACTGGATCCCCCAGAAATAAAAACAAGGGCAGGGATATGATCAGGCTGTCCTGCTGAGTTCTAAGGGAGAAGAGAGGCTTCCTGCTCGCTTGCCCAGCCCCTGGTACACACAGCAGCAATGTTATCTGCACCTCTGAGCATCCCAGGCCTGCCTGGCATTGGGAGATAAAGGAATTCTATCATATCTCTAAAGAGGGACAGGCTGCGTGAGAGGTGGCCTGTGGCCCCATCTCAGAGCTGGCAGGAAAAGGTCAGCGAGTGTCTGGGAGCAGGAGTGAGGGACACCTGAGTCACACATGGTAACAGCAGCCTGGCACAGGCACCCACCCAGCTGGGATGGCCCTCCCACAGCTTCCTCTGCTGAGCAGTGTTCCACACACAGGAATGAACTCCAGCAACCAAGAAACAACCAAGCAGGGAGGGAGATGCAGAGAGCAGGGTGAAAAGCACTGTCAGTCTGAAGAGCACACAGGGGAGACAAGTAAAAATGATGGAGTTGAGCCAAGTAAATAAAAAAAAAAAGAACAAAGTGAAAATAAATTCAGCGAAGTGAAAAAATAAATCCATAAAAAATAAAGGGGAAGAAGAAGTAGCCACTTTTCTTACTGGCTCCTGCCTCAGCAGAACAGTCTTCTCCTAGCTCATGGAAGGACAAGAGTGGGTCTCATAGGGCTTTTTCCCTGGAGGAACATCACCCAATGGACAGAACCCACAGCAGGAGCCTTCTGTGGACAGCAGAGGAGCTGACCTCCACCCAGAGTGGCCGAGGAGGCTGCCCCACGACCAGGTGGGTGACAAAGGGGCCTCCACTCTCCCTGGGTTCCTTGGTCTCAGCTCAGCCTGACCCATACCACCATTTCAGAGGTGGTTTTGGCTGGGAGTCAAGGGAAATCAACACCCCTGTCAAAGGCTGGAGCGGCTCAGAGGCCACAGCAAACTCCCTGGCACTTGTGCCACTACTACTCCCAGGAAAGCACACAAGGGGAAAACACTTCTTTTTTCAGCTCATGCCTCCCTGAATTAGGCGGGACAAGGACATTTGACATCACCTGCCCATCCAGGTGGCCTGTGCACATCCCTCTGGGAGGACTGCCACCCAGTACAAAATCTTCAGGGGACATAAGAGGGCACTGGAGATGTCCTTTTTCCTATGTCCACGGCATTGGCTGGCTCACCAGCTTCCCCAAAACACTCTGGTAGGACACATGCAGCAGGGGCAGGATGCAAAATCTCCAAGTCCTTGATTTCATTTGAACTTTGGTGTTGTTTCTGACCAGCCACCACTTCAGCATGTGCACTTGGAGGTTTCTCTGCCAAAACCTGTCCTTTCTTCACATCACTGCAAACATGGCCTGCCTGGGAGGGTTCCCTGAGGCCTGAAGAGGATGGGAAACAGCAACATTAAACTTAAAAGGCAAAATCACAGCAGGATTCAGGCACTGAACTTCCTTTTGTGCCACTGAAAATTCCATCCAAAGTCCCAGCAAAGGCAGGTTATACAAGTCAAACCTGCCCACACACAGGCACCGCTGTCCCTGGGACTTTTGCCCCACTCACAACAATAAATCTGTTTGTGAAGCACCAGCTTCCTGTTCCAGCTTCACCACTTGTTGCAGCATCAACACGCCCCCCCAGCTGCAAGGCTGCCCCTTGCCACTCATCCCATCTCCTGACTGGAGCCAGCAGGACAAAATCCCGTCCACCCCAAAGCATCTCCCGCTGCTCTGCCGACCATCCTCCTGCAGCAGTTGTGGCATCGGTGGCTCTTGGGAAGCCGCCAGGCTCCACGTGGCCACGGCCGAGGTGCGAGCACGTTCTGCTTGCAAAAACCTGCGGCAGAGAGGCGGCCAGCAGCTGGGCTGAGAAAGCTGCTGCTGCTTGCCAAGTCTACATGGTCGCCATAAAAAAAATATTGCCAGGCTTTTCATGGAGAAAGAGCTAAGCACGAGCTCCCACTTCAGCCCAGAGACAGCCGCGCCTCCCTCTCTCTCTCTGCAGAGGAGAATTCCTCTTTGACTGCACAACGGGCATAAGGGAAACAGCACACGGCAGCAATCATGGGAGAGTGGCAAACAGCCATCCCCACTGATGGTCACAAAGCTGTCCAGCAGCTGCAGAGAGAGAGGAGGGGGGGAACTGAGCCAGAGGGGGATGGAGTGGAGGAGGAGGAGGGGAAGAAGCTTTAAAGACAGGCAGATTAAGGGCAGCCCCTCAAATGAGCCAAAACTCACTGAGACGTGGTTACAACTCCCTGTTTAGCAGGAAGCATCCACAAATTAATAAAAAGGAATAAAACCTGGACAGCTCGGAAGTCGTAGTCAATCAGATTCATACATATTTAACAGGGACATTCATCTGAATAGAGGCCTGCCTGTAGCATGCTAGAAACAAGTCACACTGCCTGGGAGGCTCACAGAGAAAGCTTTGCTCCAGGCCAGCATGGGACAAAAAGGCAGGGGATTGTTTGCTGTGCTCAGGGAAAAAGCAGCCCTGATGTGAGCAGAGAAGATGAACACGCTGGTGAGGTGCAGGGGAAAGGTTATCTCCCGTGCTGGTGAGGTGCAGGGAAAGGGCATGCTCTCTGGACCCTGACCCGGGAAGGACAGGATAGACCATGCTCTGTTTCACAGCTGAAACCTGCCTCCTGGCACAGGCTGCGGGACAAGCAGGGCTGCTGCCTGTGGAGCCAGGGCAGCTGAGCTGCAGCCCAGGAGACAGCACAGCTGCTCAGGGGCAGCCCCAGGAAAAAGCTTAGCTCTTGTTTTCTAGTCCAGAGCTCTTGCTGTCAGTGCAGGAGTATGGATTTGACAAGAAGCCTCAGAAAGCTTCTTGAAACATCACTGACATTAGGAGGATGAAGGATGGAGGGATCACATCTCCTTTAGTCTCTCTAGCAATGGCCTGGATCTAGGCATGAACTTGGGCTATTACACCTATTGCCACGCATCCTGGTGGGTCCTTTTAGAACAGCATTAGTGGGAATTCAAGCCTAAGAGAACCATGCTGCATCAAACCACGTGACTTCTGCTGCACCTCTGCCTGGGCACTGGCTGAACCAATGCCCTTGCCCAGGGCTCTACAATGGCATGTCCTGCATCAGAGTTGCTCCCTGGGCAGCCCTCAGCAACCTTGGCATTTGATGTGAATCCATTAGTATAAAAATGGGAAACCCAAACTGGGTACCACTGGCTTGGGAAGTGTCATCAAACAGGGTTCCCCCTGTCTACTGTCCTCCATTTTGCAACCACATGGAACACAAAAACAATTGTTGCTAAGGCGAGGTCCCTCTCTGTCCAGCACAGCCTGTCGCAGGAGTCCTGCAACCCAGGCTGTGTCCTCACTGACACCTGCTCAACCTCAGAAACCCTCCAGAGGTTTGCACAAGCACAACTGGCTGAACTTTCCAGTGAGACACGGGAACACAGACACTCATCCCACAGGAATTGCTGCAGCCCTGCTGACATGGAGGCTCGTAGGTGGTGTTTCCAGAGCAGATTCCCCTCCCTCCTCAATGTGGAGGCTCTCCCTTGGGGCAGGAGCAATGCCTTCAGTCCACCCTGTCATCTGTGGCAAAAAGGCATCAGCCAGACAAGGAGGGGCTCTTATCGAACAGATGGGAGGCAGGACATAGCTGAAGAAAAAACGGGGTGCGCACCTACGGCACATGACAGTAGTACGTGATCTGTTCCAGAGATACGGGGAAATGACGGTTATGAAAGAGACAGGAGGGGAAGGCAAAGAAAAAAAAAAGCCTTTTGGCCCAAGTCCAGGGGGGAAGGTTCATTTCTGTCATCAGACTTAATGGTTCAGCCTGGGGAGAAATGCAAAAGGCACCAGGTCCTCCCTTCCCAGAGAGGGAGAGCAGGGTCAAACGCAGCACCCCTTCCTCTCCCTGTGCACGCCACCTGCCTCAGCCTGACCCGAGGCGGGAGCTGTCCTGAGCTGCCATTGGAGCTGGGTTTACAGAGAACAGCAGTGGCCTGCTGATCTCATGTAGGGAATCAGAAGTACTTTTGCCCCAGGCCATACAGTAAGCTCAGTAGGAACCAGTTTTCATGCATCAGATATATTACATGGATGCCACATATCCCATTTGGCAGCTCCCTCACAGATTGCAAGCTTCTGGACAAAGGGACTCCAAACTCTCTGGATCTGGCACAGCACTCACTGGGCTTGAATTTAGACATACATTCTTGGCCAGCAGCCCCGAGCTCTGGGAAGGAAGCATCCTTTTTTCCCCTCTCCTCCCTCCTTCCCACTCCTGCCCCCGGACGGAAGGCATATTGGATCACTCCTCTCTGTGAGTAAGGGAGTGCTCTTCTTCTGAAATAATACCCTCTGCATGGGCAGCTCTGCTGGTCCTGCTCTTCTCAATCCACCAGGAAAAGAAATCTCTGCTGGAATACTGTTCTGCTGAAATGAAAACACATCACAAAATCCAGCTGACTTGGTCAGGATTTTCCTTAAGAAGCAAATCAGGAAAACAAGAAGTTCCTGGTAGAGTGCATTGAAACATTTTACAGCATGTTTAAATGCAGCATAGCTGCTTTATTATTCCTATTTCAAAGCTACTTGAATTGTATTTTTGTCTCCTTGTATTGCATTATGTAAGCTGCAAAATGCAAACTAAAGCTTCCAATTATAAAAAAAAAAAGCTGAAAGTAAGTAAGCTGAGGATTTTAAAATTTGTCAAATCAAATTCTGAACAGTAAAAATCCTCAATAAAACCAAACCTAAATATCAATCTTCACCCTTGTATAAATATTAAACATTATTTGAATACAGTTTTGATTCTGTGAAATCCCTGGGTGTAGATAAGCCTTCAGTACTAGGTAGGATGATAAAACTGCTGTAAAGTGTAAGAAGCTGCTGTTAAATTTTTGTAAGTCCAGTAGGGGGTTCTACAGCAAGTACAACATCTAAAATTTTGAAAACATACATATATTCTACGACTAATAAAAGTAGGCAGCTAGGAGAGAAGCTATCTATATATACCAGTATTTACAGGTCTAGGAATTGTATAATACTAAATGGCATTTCTCAGCATTCATCCTCCACACAACTTTTCAAAACAGGCAAATAACTTCAGCATCCTGTTAACTGTATTCTCATGTGCATGTATGCAGCCCCATTGGACTCACAGGTGTAAATTAGGGCAGGATTTGGCCCATGATATCCACAGCCCAAAAGAATGACTGCAAACCCTTAAAGGAGCAGGGAGAAAAAAAGAGACAACAATGCTAAAATAATTAGTGAGATTAGAGACAAAGAAAAATAATTATGTTGACAAAAGCAATGCTCTATGTTAGCTTGACCCTAAATAAAACCTTAGATACTGGCTAGTAAGTTCTCTGTTGAAATCACTGAACTGAACACTAAAACAAAAGCCACTTTGGAGGGGGCAGAAGCTTCAAACCTACAGAAAGCAGCTTTACATACCAACCGCAGGCAGCAAGTAAAGATCACTGTGTTTAAGCAGAAATTGCAGGAAGTGTGTGGGTGGCAATAGCCATCCTCCACACTAGAGTTTAGAGGAGGACACTGTGACCATTCCTGTGGCTGGTCCAGGAAAATATCCATGCCGTGGTGAGATACACTGCCAAGATGCATCCCTGCTTTCCAAAGGCTCAGCAGCTGGACTTGGGATGAGCCTCTCAGATTTGCCAGGGCCTGAAACAAAATTAGATGAGCCAGAAATGAAAGGTGAGATCTTGGACTAAGTACAATAGATCTTGGATCCTGTACAAAAGTCACAGAGATCAGATGTCACCCAGTGATTAGGGGAAGTTGGGATAATATCAAAGAGAAGGTAGGCCAGCTATGTCAAGAGGAAGAAAACTTCTTCAATTATAGCCCAGATTTACAAGTCAGAAGATATAGTTTATGCTCTTGACAAAGCTGAAAGCTTCCTGTGACATCTTAAGCAAACCAGTTTGCTCCTCGATCCAACAGGATAATAACTTACACAGTCCAGAGCTTTCCAGTAACTGAAGTGCTTGCAGCTCCCAAGGAGAAAAGTGCTCTTACCTTAAACACAGCAATAAAACCCCCCCATCATCCATTTGCTGAGCACAGTGGGAATGCTCTCGGTGGGGTACCACACACAGCCAGCTCCCATGGATGTAAAACATATTTTAGTGCTTGCTCCTTAGTCCCAGTGTACCGCTTCCTATCCCTTATAACCATCTCTACCCCACCACATTCTTCATGAATGGAAACTATTCCTATCACTACACTAGAAATAGCCAAGTAAACAGGAAAAAACCCAGAAGATTTGCCAGCAGGTGCTATGGGAGGAGAGAAGACGATGGTGATCAGCAGCTTTGGCAGCGGTGTAAATGGTACCAAGCACGTCAATTTAGCCATCTCTCTGTCAAGAAAGTCAGAACCACAGGGATTCATATTTAGAGGAGGCTTTCCAGCACACTGTTGGCTCTTATCTCAACCCAGAATTGTTCATGCTATTCATCACACGCCACGACAGAAATTATATCAGCATCAGCAGCAACCAGAGTAGCAGAATATTCTGCAAAGAAAAAACCCAACCAAGAAAACCACCAGTGTTTACCACGAATAATGTCAGTTGTTCTACAGTTTCCAGCTTCCAGTTAGGGTTATTTGGCTCTGAGCACTTTGGGAATATCAGCTGGAAGGATGGCAGCATCCAGAGGTATTTGACAGGAGTAAAAACCTATGTAAGCTCTACGTTTCTTGTCTAAAAGTCACCACCCCAGAATAGCTTGTGATGTAGTTATTTTTATTCAGAGAAGAGCCTGTGCCTTGAGTTTGGATCAGAGTCCAAATTCCGCTAGAGTTTCATTTCAGGCTGTTGTTAAGGTAGGATGCTCCACTCTGGCCCAGTTCAGAAACAGGATGATCAGTAAATTAGGGATCTCATTTAGAGTCAGGCTCAGACATCAGAGGTGGTCCATTTTGACAGGCTTGTGTCATACATTAAATGAGCAGTTGTACATGAAAAGTAGGGTTTTTTGTCAAGAAAGGAGGAATTTAGAAACTGTGTCCCTATCTCCACACTTCAGAAAGGCTGCAGGTTGTTTCATAGACGCTGGGAAGGCTTCTGAGTCACACCAGTCCTGAGAGGTTACCATTTGATAAAGGAGAGCACATTTCACTGCTGAAAATCATAGTGGTGAGTACTGACAGGTCTCTCTGGGTTAAAGCTCTATCAGCACACACACACATTTACCATTAGGACACACACAGTATTATAGCTTGCTCTTTTTTGTCTGTGCATGCAACAAGGATTCTTTGACAGTTTTCTATATTTTGGGATGTGGAAAGCCTGTAAGAACTACAGGATCTCTTAAAAATGACCTGCTCATTTTCTTCCTCCTTCCTCCCATTTATCAATGATCCCTTGAGTACAGGAGCTTTCTTCATTGCCCCAACTGGATATTCTTGAAGATTTTACTATAACTCACTGGTTCAGCTTTAACCACAGCAGTAGTAACGTAATAATTAATATCAATTTCTTGTAAATGCTTTGTTAGTAAATTTAGAAAATAATGATCTCTTAGTTACCCAGGCTTTTATCCCACTGTGTACCCATCCCAGAGCCTTTGCTTACACAGGAGGCTGACACAGTTCCCTATACACCATTTTAGTTGCTCACATAACAAATAAATACTTCATACATATTTTACACACATGCTTGGCACAAAATGTAGAAGTGCACATGCACATGAAACAGGAGTAATATAGTCTGTTCCAGTAGATGCACCCAGTCCCACACACGTCTTCAGACCTGTAGGAGGCAATGCAGGAACTGTTTGTGTTCTGTGGGAAAGAATTGAGCTGCCTTCTCTCCTCTCCCTCTTTTCTAAAACTCAGCGTAAAGCAATGTTAGTAAAAGTGTTCTCTCTTAAATATAAGGAATGTCAGCTGGCTTGAAAAGCACTACCCTTGCCTGCACTTAGAACTATCTGAAAGGCTTCACCTGACAGATAGGAAGACCTTGGACAACCTTTCCTAAGAGCAGAGCAAGGGATAAAGATGCCATCAGCAGAGGATTGGTAGCAAGCATCTGGAATGGCTGTAAAATTTCCAACCAGCTCAGCTGTTTGAAAATAAATGCCATCCCCAACCTTATGGAACTGAGCTGGTACATCTTCAGACATCCCTTACATAAATCTCTTGTACACTCAAGAGATTTATGATAAACACTTGCTCTTTCCTTAACCTCCAAAACCTTTTCCACCTGCTGAATAACTCAAGAGTCTTTCCTCTCACCCAGCCTGTTCAATATCTATATAAAGCCTCTGGAGAAGATTCGGTGGCACCATAGACTGACTTGTCAGCAGTACACATATGACACCCATCTCCACATTATCTTCACCTCCCATGCAAATAACACCATTACTCAACTCTTCAAGGGCTTGACTAAGATCAGCAAATGAATGAAGTTGGCAGAAGCTGAATTGCTGCAAGAGCCTGGGCTGACGATGACATAGGAAAGTATTTTACACTTTGATAATGTCCATTGCTGGCATTAAGATTTAGTGTTAATCTGAATTCCATCATCCTGAAAACCCCATAACTGTTGCTGCAAAAGCCTCAATCCTTCAGCACAATTTCCAATCAGATAACTGAAAAGACTGGACTTGGCCCTAATGCTTGATTTCTACAATGTAATGGACTTAGAACAACCCATGCAAGAATGCTCCTGGCCATTTACTCAGCAACATAAGACCACCAAACAAGCTTAAGCTGTGCTCTTTGCTCTGCTAACTACCTAGTCCCAGCTTAAATTCAAGGCTTTGCTCTTATTTTCAAAGCCTCCATGACTTTAGCAAAAATTGATTTAAGGGCATCCACACCTCTGTAACATGGCACCATTGAAACCTAACAGTTATACTGCTCTGTAACAAAATAAATGCTCACTTTGGAGGGTGTTTGCATCAGGGACAGAGATCCCCTGCTGCCTAGGACACAACCTGCAAGAGACACCCATAAATCTCAGAAGTGCAAGAACAAGAGAGAAAATCCAGGTTGATTTTTTTTTTCCTTTCTCTGTTCCAACTGTACCAAATCCATCAGCATGAACAAGGAGTCCATGTCTGAGAGACTGGAGGAAGTCTGACTTCCAGGGGCCTCCACTGGGAGTTCCCTGGTGTCTGGTGAAAAAGTGAGCTGGGTTGGTAGCATGTTGATGCTTCAGCACAAACAGGCTCTTTCATGCACACATCCGCCCCTTCTTTCAAACTCACAGGAACTTCACTTTCAGATCTGTATTCTGTTGTCAACAGGCTCAAACTTTTGTGGAGATGAGAAGGGAAGGCACATGGAATCACATATACAGACAGACACACATAATTTCAGATGCTTTGTTTTACCAGGAAAGAGTTATTGGCAAAAGCACCTTATGTAAAAAATAGGAGAGGAAATGAGAAAGAGGGATGTCAAAGATGTCTTGTGTTCATTCTCATGAGCTCATGAAATGATTGCAGGCAGACAGATAAAGGTATACAGGAACATCTGAGGAGTCATTGCTTTCCAACACACCAGTAACAGCCAGCAACTCAGAACCTGGAGAGAATCCTACAAACATTTCCAAATGACAAATGAGTCACTAATGATAATTAGATCTGACAGAAATTTATTTCCTCCTAGAACAAATCCAAAGATTGCTTTTCAATTATATGAGATGCAAAACAAGGCAAAAAGTTGAGATACCACCGAAATACACCTGAATCCATGTCCATAACTCACTGCTGCACAGGGAGAGGACGTTGTTTTAAGGTTGCACTCCATGTTACTTTTTCATTTCCTGACCACTGCTCACTTGCAATGCATCTAACTGTGCTTGAATTCCCTGCCAAGGAAAGTAAAGCAGAGGTGCCCCAATAGGGGAACCAACCCCACATGTATCTATACACTATTCAGAATAAGTGCCCTGACAATGCAGAATTTTATGATGCATCTAGCATTCCATGAACCCTCCAGCTGGTCTTGCCTGGGAGGAAAAATATGCATGCATGAGCAGGGATACCATTCAGAGACACTAAAACAGGTTCATAATAAGTCATCCTGTTTTCTTCAGCACAAAAATAAACCCATATCAGGGGGTTTTTTTCTGACAACAGCTGGCAGTAACTTTGTGCATTTCAAATGAAGGTAGACGACTTTTCAAATGGTTAAAAGGTGTGTGAAGTTTGAAAAGCTGGGAAGTCTTGCCAAACTTGACAAAACTTTGTTGAAAGGTTAAACAAAAGTTTCCACTGCAACAACTATTCTGCTTGAAATCTGCCTAAATTTGTTCAGACCTTTGGGCTCATGTGACTAGAAGTAAGTGGCCAAGCAAACCATCAGAACTGAAACTTGGAATCACCAAAGAGGCCCACGCCAAGCCTCTGCTTTGGTGGGGTTATGTCTTGTCAGGCTCCTCCAGTGCTTGATTCCAGCAGCAACATTTGGGCTGGCACATCATGCCAGAGAGACAGCATTTTTGTGTTACAACTGAGAAAACAAGCAAAAAAATAAAAACAAAAATTACACTGATTTAATCATTTGGTAAGGCATCATCGTGGAAGTGTCCAAATTTTAGTGCAAACCACCCTCCTCCCCATTTTCTCCCAAAACTCTTATCTTCTGTTCTTAAACGGACAATTCAGAAAACAGCCAGAGTGCTGCTTCTTTTTTCCTTGTATCCTCTGCCACGCTTGCACATGTGCTTATCCAGTAACAGGCATCACTAGTGAAATGGGATTACGTTCCACTGGTTAAGCGCATGAGCACAGCCCTGGGTGGGGCTGCTGGAGGATCAGCTCTTAATAAGGTGTCCAATTTATAATCTAGCAGGGCGAAGAGCAACTGGCTCTCAGAATGAATAGCTCTTCTGTCTCACCATCTCCTGAGGCTGGCTGCTGGGCCGGCCCGCCTCATCCTTTTTTTTTTTTTTTTCCCCTCTCTGTGTTTCTCTGATGCTGTTATTCTTTTCACTAAGTTTTTGCTGGAAATATAAAGAGGAAGGAAGACAACAAGTATCCACCCGTATCTGGTCACACACTGCAAACTGCAGCAGGATGAGCAAACGCTCTGCTAGCGCAACAAGCGATACACCCTCGCTATTTACTTTTTCCATGGAAGTTTCGTTTCAGCCTAGCACCCTGCTCTCGGGGACCGCCTTTGCGCCCAGCGATGTCTTTAAAAGGGATGCTCCGCGCAGGACGGGCCAGCGGGCACGCCCAGGGCGTGCGGCCGGGGGCCGGCGGGATGCGGTGCGCGGGTGATGCTGTCCCCGCCGCTGTCCCCGCCCGGTGCACCTGCCGGGAGCGGCTCCGGAGGCGGATCCCGGCCCGCGCGCCGCTCCCGGGCACAGCCCCGCACTCAGCCGCGGCCGGGACACCGCCGCCGCTGCAGAAACACCCCGCGGGAAGGCTCGGCGCACCGCTTCTGCAAAGGCTGGCAGTGGCACACCCGAGCATCTCTCTCTCTCTTTTCTCCAGATCTCTGGCCTAAGATTCCCCCTGTCCCGGGAGGCTTGCCGCAGAGCCTCCCATACCTCCAGGAGGCACGTTTAATAGATTTCCTTTCCA